TTGCAGCTTGTTTCCGGATTGAACGTCAGTTTTGGGCTTGAACGTGCTTGAATCTTCCTTCGAATCTTCAAAAACGCCTTTGGATCTTCAAGAACACTTGAATTTTGAGGAGAGAATTCTCTAGAGCTCTTGAACTTGGAACTTGAATATGAATTGTGTTCTTTTCACCTTACGGAGGGTCCCTATTTATAGGTGTTGGGAGAGAGAGTCTTGGAAAAGAGGACTTCAATTTGATTGGTCCATAATTTCCAATATTTATCTCTTAATAATCATTTAAAGAGATAATTAGGAGAGAGAGTCTTGGAAATAAAGACTTCAATCTGATTGGTCCATGAATTTCCATTTATTTATCTCTTTAATAATTATTAAAAGAAATAATTATTTATTTTACTCTCCAAGAAAATGACATGTGGCATTTTTTAATTGGCCTTCAAAATATATATGTGGCATTCTTTAATTGGCCAACAATATATATTATATAATCAATTAATTAACTATTTAATTTAGGAATTAAAATTTGATTAATTTCCCAAATAAAATAGAAAACTATTAAATTGACTTTGACATGGAATTTGACACTTGTCGCCATTTTATTGGCTCAAAATTTACTTGTCTACAAATATATATATAGATAAAGAGCCATCATATTTAATAAATAGTAGCAAGAAAAGTCAAAGGACAATCAATGCATTTTATTTTCAGCATTTTTCAAATTTCTTTTAATATCTTGCCTAGAAGATCAAACAACATTAAAGACACCCAAAATTCTGTCAGTTTTTATTTTTTTTAATAATCACTAACAAAGTTGTTTAATTATTATAAAAAATTAAGTAATGAAATAACATGTGTGTATATTTTGTAAAATATTTATACACAATGTTTTATTTTGATTTATTTATGTAATTTAATTTCACTAACATTAATAAATAATATTAACATAAATTAAATATTTTTCATTATATAAAATCAAAAAAAGAAGAAGACTACTTCTATAACTTAAGAAAACTATAATGACATTATATGACAACAAATTTTATAATAAAATAATTAATCAAGGATTATATGGTGAACAAGAATATGTAAAACTGTTATTTTCCTTATATCGAAGACTAAAGATATATACAAAAATCAAATTTATATTAGTGTAAATATTTTATCGGGATAATATATTAGTTAATTTACAGACTAGGGCTAATGGGCTCACGTTTAACGTTATGACTAAAAAAACAACGCTGATTAAAATAGGTAAAAAATTGATGATCCAATTCTACTATTTTTCAGGCCTAAACGCATAGATTCTATGAAAATATCATTTAACATCTCCGACCCGTGCATCACACGGGCGACGTACTAGTAAGGATGAAAAGGACCAACCCAAATTGTTTCACATCTACAGGAAATATCAATAGAAGATATAAATAATGTTCCCCTACCCTCGGTGGGCACATATTAATATGCTCATCGCTTATGTGGCATGCACACATTGGTATGTTAATATGTTCGAAAAAATACATCACCAATGTGTTCATGTCACCTAAGCGATAGACATATTAACATATGCCCACCGTGGGTAGAACATTACTCGAGAAGATATATGCTTCATTGTCAGTCAAATTCTTTATAATTAAGTCAGACCAACTACTTTACTCATAATTATGCACTTATTAATTGCTGGTTTAGGGTGTTTGTTTCCCATCCCCATCCTCAATTAATGTATACTCCTCAACTTTATTAGTATATAGAAACCTCAACACAATAAATTTATTTGTCACATACTAAATTAATTGCTAATATAAGTTCTCAACATTTGGTTCTTGAAATTTTCCCAGCCTAGCTATAGTTTGCAATTATAGATTGTCTCTTCGTTTTCCTTTCTTATTTCTTTTGTTTGTTTAGTTCAAAATGGGGGAGAAAATGAACTTGGAATCCCATAGTTTGGTTAAAGAAGGAAGAGGACGACAAATACAATGGAGTATATGACTATTTTAGGGAGGAGATTTTTATTTATACAGACTGTGGTTTTTGTTCCTCTCCAAATGGTCCTAATTTGAAGCTAACACTAAAACGGTTATAGCTGAAGTTGATAGCCAGTGCACGCTGCAAATGGTGCTTGGGACGAAAGATCATTTTGGAGCCCATGAATCACTAGTCCGATCCATTCGCAGCCTTGTTGACAGAGATTGGAGCATTCGGATCCTGCACGTTCATAGGGAAGCTAATTTTGCGGCAGACCATATGGCGAGTCTAGCCTCTTCTTGTCCACTAGGGGTTCAGAGATTCTCGTCACCCCCCCAGGGAATGACTACTTGGATCGATCACGATTTCCGTGGAGTGGCTCACCCTCGTCGAGTCCTAGCGTCGTCATCTTAGGCCTTCGGCCTCCTTCTTTGTACCAAAAAAAAAAAAAAATACAATAAAACGAGGGAGAGCACAAATTTTGTTTGTTTGTTTGTTTGTTTTTTTTTTAAAGTACAAAATTATTCACTGCGCTTTAATTAGAAAAATCGATTCATCGATGTCGATTTTACGAAATTCCTTCCCCTCCTACTTCCTCAAACCGATCATAACCTAGCTAATGAGTAATGATACGCGATACGTTGAACATAAATTCATTTTCTAACATTCGTATACTTCTGTTACAATCTGAGAGTCGATCAAACGAGAGTCCTATAAACCGATGTGTTAAGTTCTTACAGAAGAACAAAAAAAAAAGGAAAATAAAACGCAACGTTAAACGGAAAGATCAAAGTCGAGGTGCAAATATATTTTTCCACAAGGCAAATACACTCTGTAAAGAGCTAATGGGTTAGTGCATCTTGTCCCAAACCATACACCGACAAACGTCTTGGAAGTTGTAGCACACCTAACTTCGGAGTCGAGAACTGAGCACTATGTATGATGCATGAGGCTATATGTAGATAGTAAGGATGCATATTTATATTACGCGTCTATCTGCAGCTCTAGACAAGTCCTAATGAAATCAGTTTTGACTTTTAGGAAAATAAATATAACACAAATATCTACTCGAAACGTAGAATTTTTTTACACAATTCTTTATTTTTTTTCGAAACGATAGAGATATTATATTTAATGAAAAACACACAAAGTGCGAAGAGAAAAACAACCAAATGCTGAAAAGACTGGGAGGCATATCTGAAGATCGCCTAGAGCCTGTTAGCAACGCTAGAATAACAAACTCGCAACTCATCAAAGAAACTAACACAAACAAAAAATGAAAACTACTAAAAATTCCCAACAAGATAATGCCTGAGTGGCCAAAAATTTAATTTTGTTCCTCTAAGTTGGTCATTGTCCATATTTGGTACTCCAACTTTCCTCTCATAAAAAATCGTCATGTTGCAGTTTTTATCACATTGTGACATTATCCCAAAAATAATTCATTATTTTTTGGGATTAATGTCCTAAAAATGATACATATTGCAACATAACATACTGTTTTGTAAGCGTAATGTCCCAAAAATGATACAAATTGCAGCATAACGTACTATTATTGATGAGTGGAAAGTTGGTGTACAAAAAATGGACGATGACCAACTTAGAGAACAAAAATTGATTTATTGCATGTCTGAGTGTACGATATAATAAGCTCACACTCGGGCGCACAGGGGTCAACGACCCAAACCGAAAAAACGAGACCTAAACAAACATCAAGACCAAAAATACATAACAAAATAAAATAAATAAAACAACATAATAAATAAAAGAGCCCTTCCACGGTAGGACAACCGAGCCGAACCAGAGGGCAACCGATCGACCCAAATGAAGAGATCACAGTTCAAGAATTTTCCCCTAAAACTGTCGAACCGCCTAACGAAGGGCAAAATTCAAACTCCAAACTCATCAGAAGGTCGACCCACCCCTCAGCCGGAGAGACGCCGACAGCATCCCCACACCACCGGAGTCCCGATCCTGCTAACACCACTAGCGAAGACCGGGAGAACCAATCTCCCCCAAACCCAAGCACAGAGTTCGAGGGAGACAGGATGGAAACGACGTCTCAGCCGCGGGCAATTACAGCACAAAGGCCACAAGTCGCCCGAGCCACTCCTAACCCATCCCCTGAACCACCCAATCCCAGCAACACTGCAGCACCACATAGGCCATCAGACAGAACCCCAAGCGATTCATGGCGAGAAAGACGAGATCCAGCCACTGACATCCACTAACCACCATCGGCGCTGGGGATGAAAGAAGACGCGATTTCAGTAGGACGGGTCGAGCGGCCGCTGAAGGGAGGACCACCGGCGAAGACGCAGCGCCCCTGAGGAAGGCGATTGGAAGATGCGTCGGATCTTCAAGGAAGATTAGGGATTTGGACAGAGAAATGGGCTGATTTTTTACACAATTCAATTCAACTCGAATTAACTATTTATTCATAAAAATCAATCAAAATCGGATCAAACACAATATTAAATAACTAATTTTCAACAACTTATCCGTTCAATCACACTTCCACTATTCGGAACATTTAACAATAAAATCAAAGACATACTTTCGGTTTTTTTTT